CATGGCTGCAAGTACATTAGTGAGGACTGCAACGATGAGATGGAAGTTACGGTAAAGTGACAAAGACAGAAATATCGTTGCGTACAGCGTTGCCACTAGTTGTAATAAATATCTAACACTATACAGAAAATAATGAATTTTAACTGATCAGTAATCAGGAAATGTATAAGTATTACTCATTACAAGCTCATTACTGATTTTTGTCATAAATAATACCTTTTAATCGTACTAGTATTGTGTATTATCTATAATTTGCCACAACCTACAACTCTACTGCTTACTATATTTTGATTCTGCTATAAACTGGTAACGTAAAATTTAGATATGACAACGCGCTTTACTCTCAATCATTACTCGTTTTACTATAGGCATATTTTAACAAAATGAAAATAAAAATTCAATAGAAAAAGGGTTTTCTGTTGAACAGCTTTAGTGCCCATATGAAGGGCAAGCCTCAGAAAATGAAACTTGTGAATGGTAAGGATCAACGAAGTCGTGCCTTTTAGTGTCTAATTTGTAGAACTGGACAATTTCTAGTTAGGTGTAACATTACTGACTTGAAAGTTTAAAAGGATATTTGGAAAAAATAAGAAAATTAAATAAGAAAGGAACATAGTTCTGAAACATTTTTGCAACAAAAAGCACAGAAAGAGTGTGACCAAGAGAGACAAGACAAAATCCAGCAACTGAACAATTTAGCTAAAGTCTTCACAGAGAAATGACAGAAAAAATGCAAGGTGAAATTGTTGAAGTTAGATATCAAGTCAAAGAAGTTTATGCTTGAATTGGGTGGAAGAGATGAACAGGAAAGGTGGGATAATTCAAAGAACAACCCAAGTATATCCATAACACCAGCAAATATGCATCCGAATTATCCATTTCATCCAAGTATGCTGAAAACACTTCAGCCTCATTGGTTTATTTTCTCTTTATTCTTTCGTATTTTCACGACACCCACCAGCAATTGTTTTCTGTAGTGCCAAAGTTGGCAATAACTCATATAGTATAACAATTTTCAATTGAAGGTTACTCATATACAGGGTGATTCAAAAGTACTTTGACAAACTTCAGGAGGTGACTCCTCACAATATTCTAATATGAATTGTCCAAATAAATAAATGTCCGGAAACGCTTCGTTTCCAAGATACAGGATGTTGAAGTTTTATTTTTATTTTCGTTTTTTTT